GTGTTGTTTAACTAAGGAATTTTCATCATGTCTTCTGACTGCTAGTTGGTGCTCATGGATGTGTTCTGCTAGTCTTCTGCCTGTCTGTCCTACGTAGTGTTTGTTACAGTCCTTACACTGTATGTTGTAGATGACTCCTGTTTTTTCTTTTTGGGCTTACTCAGTTTACTTAGGATATTGTTGGTTCATGTGCTACAGAGATGCCATGTGGTTGTAATAAGTCTGTTGGTGGTTTCTGAGATGTTTCTGATGTATGGCAGTGGGATCCTATTCATGACTTGTGTGGGTTGTGTTGTAGTAGGTTGAGTGGTCAGGGACTTTTTGATAAAGTTACGTGGGTATCCATTTTGTTGGAAGATGTTGTATAGGTGGTCTTATCCATTTTATTCGTCTCCATAAGTAGACTCTAGTAAAGATCTGATTTTGGCCAGAGAAAAGGTGTAAAATAATCACATCTAGTTCATTGGCTTGATGAACTGGAGCTTCAGTTTATCTACTTGCGAGTAAGCACATAATCATTCCAGTGATAGATGATCTTGCGACAGAGGACAAAGTAAGGAGGAAACCAGATTCTACTTAGGACAAGATCTGGTGAACAAGTGACTTCTGAATGTCTCCCCTCCCAAGCAGATGACTGCCTTTCTGGTAATCCTTCTCTCTGCTGCTCCTAATGTTGCAGCAGGATCTGTGTTTAAGAACAGAGGGTGGCTAAGCCTGCATCAGTTTCCGTGTAAAGTGATCAAGACAGCTGACCTGAGTTGTAGTGAAGAACAGTGATTACTGATGCCTAACTCTATTTCCTAGTAAACTGCATCATCAGTTGCCTGTCCCCATGCCCAACTTTTGCTTTCAGAACTCCCCACAATGCTATCTTTTCCCACCACATCTTCATCCTTGATTTTTTCAGCTGCTTCCCTTTGCTAAAACCTGGTTCCTTCTGTTCTGTCACACTGTTGCCCTTTCCCATCCCATTGGCCTTATGAGTGATATAATCATTCTGACTCCCTCAGGATTTTCATTTTATCTCCACTCTACTTCTTAGTTGGTTTCAATATTTATATTGATGATCTCTCTCTCCTTTTTTTTCTTTTTCTTTGCAGTCTTCTGACTGAGTAATCCTCACTCTTAAACACTTGGATGTATCCTGTTCTTTCAGCCCTTCCTCTGTGGAATTCTGTCTGCTCTTTCACAGATTTCTATTATTTTGCTTCCTACAACTTCCATGATTTCCAGCCCATTGATCTAGTTGCTTTGTAGGAAGTGTCCTCTCTCCTCTCTCCTTTCTGCCTGATGTGTACCCTACCTTCATTTCCTTGCTGTTGCACTTTCTTTGCATATTTATCTCTCTTATTCTGTCATGGAGCACTTAATTCAGTAACTTTGTATGTTTCCTTACGGAGCAGAAATCATGTGAAAGGGAAGAAAAGGGTTGGCTGATTTTGTCTACTGAAAATTCATTTCCTTTTTATCTGCAGTCTGCTTGACTAAACAGCACCACAACATCTAATGGATAAACAGCAACTCTAGGAATCCTGCAATTTCTTCCCTACTTTCTGAAGCCTTCCCTGTCAGTTATTTTTTAATTTGTCTATGCCTGCAAAATTCTTAGTACAAAAATGTATATTCTTATACAGTAGAGTCTCATTGAACCGACCTTCGCTTATCCAACATTCCGTCTTATCCGACGCCCCTAAAAAAAACCCAACACGCATAAATTGGCGACGAGAAAAGCGTGCCGCTTGTTTGAGAGTATGAGTGTACTCTTTCTTGTTGCTCCTGACGGTGCGGCGCCGTAATGCAAAAATCGATTGCAACAGGCACAGCGGATCAGTTTTTTTTTTTTACCGCACTCAATTGTTACTGTGTGTTATCCGACATTTTTGCTTATCCAGCGTTCTGCTGGCCCGTTTATGTCGGATAAGACTCTACTGTACTACCTGTGTCAGTTAGAAGAGGAATGAGCTCTCTGTACCAGATGTAAACTTCTTATCTCCACAGCATGCTTAACTTGGGGGGGGGCATCCCAAAAAAGATCAGTGAATCTAGTCAACAAATTCTGGGAATTAACTTTTGCCACAAGTGGACTCAGTCATGCAGAAAAGCCAAGTTAATTTCACCTAGTCAGCTGTATTATGAGAACATCTAAATTCAGTTGGATTCAATTGACCTGTATTGTATACCTTGTCCTTCAAGAAAAAAAGTTGGAAAGAAAGAATGACTGAGAAATTAAGCCTCGGCTTTCTACAACTAAGTGCCAAGTCCTGACGTCACAGAACAGATTGACTAACTGCAGGGGCCAAGAAGCCATGCTTAGTGCCCTTTCCATTGGAGAAGAAGGGGCTAGTGATGTCACAAAACCTTTCTTGTACTGTCCTGGGGCAAGAGCTTTTGAAGTAATGGGCATTTCCATGAGAAAGTAGGCAGGGACGTCACGTTCCCCAAATGGAGACTTTTGACCTAGTGATTGTTTGCTATCAGAATCAGTGGTAAGAAGATACAACTTGGTTAGTGGTTCCTAGAATTACCTTTTTGCTTGACCAGAACAGCAGCTTTCATGTTTCTGTAGGTGTGACACGAGGGACTAGCAATCTAATGCATTCCACATGGGCTGTTCTTTTGATTGCCAGCATCTGGGATTCTGCAAAGCTGATGAGTCCTTGCTGAGGAGGGAAGACTAGTAGCTTGACCCTAAATATTCGAGTAGTTGTCTGTTCAGCACACACATCCCATTCTATCTCCAGTGTAGGCTTTATTTTCATAACTTGTGTATGAACTTAACCCAGAACTTCAGGAAAGAGGTGTTCTTAATGAATCTCAGTCACGGGACTTGCCTCCTGAGGCAGAGTTAGAATGGTTTTTAAAACTCAAATTATTGGTCTGCAGAGATGACTGTGCCAAGGAATGTCAGTTAAGACTTTTTAAATATGCTAGGATTTTTTTTTAATTTTTACTTTGGTAATATCTGTAGCAATGAGCTTTTTCTTCACACAAAATGATAGGCAGGTCAGGAAGACTGAGTCATTCCAGGTCAGTAGATACTTGACGTCCAAAAGCATGCGAGTGACTACCTTCTTCTTTGGTTAGGTACTTGGTAGCGCCCTAACGTTTTGTCTTGGAATTCGTTTGATGCAGGAAAGGTCTTGAGCTACTGGTGCTTTAGCCCTGGATACAGCATGCATGAGTTGGTTCGTCAGGGAGTCCGCACAATCCTTCTGACAAGTGGGACCCTTTCCCCAGTTTCCTCTTTTGCTATGGAGATGCAGATGTGAGTCTTGTTTATTTCATTTTTGAATGTATAAGCTGCTTCAGTCAAGGTGACTCTAAACTGTGTATAAAAGCAACAGCTACAGTCACGGCAATAACAACAATACTATTTATTTATTATATCAGATTATATAGAGCTGCTCATCTGAAATATATGATGCTGAGTGCTCACAAACAATTAAAAACAATATAAAAACACTAAAACAATACAAAACTACAATTTAGAAACAATAAAGAATATTAAAACAAACATTAAAAAACCATTCAGCAAAATCCCTAGCTGAGGTGTTCTCATGTCCATGAATGACACTCAGTACAACCACTGCACAGGCATTGGTGTAACTCCTGGGTCCCCACACTCGATGGCAACCTACAATAAAACATGTCATATATAATTAAGGTTAAACCATTGCAATTAATGTAATATCTGTCACTGGGAGTTCTCCAGCATCAAATCCCAAATCTTAAAAGATCTTCCAGGAAGAGTTTTCAGAGCTTCCTGAAGGCCCTGAGAGTGGGAGCTACCCTGGTCTTCCAGAGCCAGCTGTTACAGGGGAAGGAGCCTCCACACAAAAATTATCTGTGTAAAGAAAGCAGTTGGGCAGAAGTATCCTGCCCTGGGTTTGAATAATATTGACATTACTGACCCGAAAAAGGAAAAAGTCAGGGATTTTCCAAGGTTGCCATTATCTCCCTGTTTCCTGTTATAGAATGATTTAATTGTTTTCTTGTGCTTTTGTCAAAAAATATTATCTCCTGCCCACCATAATTTTTTTTTTTTAATATATTTTTTTTATTTTTTACAACAAACACATACAAACAATAACATAAAAAACATTAAAAAAAAAAAATTATGGTGGGCAGGAGATAATATTTTTTGACAAAAGCACAAGAAAACAATTAAATCATTCTATAACAGGAAACAGGGAGATAATGGCAACCTTGGAAAA